GAAAAACTGATAAATACACATGATTGAAGGATATGACGTTCTTGGTTCTTGATGCTCCACTTTAGGAGTTTTGCAATCCTGCAGATCAGCAGCGATAGATTTGTTGACTCCTGAAACTTACTGTCACTCTCTCGTGACGTCTTGTTTCACCCAGATTTGCCCTTCTCTGGAGACTTTCCCCCAAAGCTGTGCCGCACGCTCCGGGGCTGTCGATCACAACGTACAACATCGAGGGACTGAAAGGAGAACTTCCAACTGAACGTCGGACTCTTGAGTGGGCATTTCATTCGTTCCCTGAGCTGTGTTACGTCGCAACTTTGCAAAATGTTGTAAGAAACTTTTTGGTAATATAATAAATGGGTTAAAAGATGAAAAGCTTGTATCAGAGAGTTATTGCCACTCCCACACAATAGTCATGACTGCGCGACGATCCTGATAGACACACCCAGTCGGCTAACCCACAAGTCCTCTGGGAAAGGAAGTGACTCTAGGGAGAGAGATGCAATCATCCTCCAGTAATTAAATTGAAAAATTTTGTTTTTGCTGGGATTTAAACTAATTTAACAGTCTGAAGATAAAATTTTTTTTCCTCTCAAAAATTTCAAGTCTGGCTCTCACACTAGGTATGTTTTTGCCATTACACAACAAAAATTATGAAACATGGCACAATATTCGACTGATTTTGCATTTGTAAAAGATATCTTAAACTTTGTATTACATTAGACCCCCTATAACACTGTTGTTAATTCCGTGTTATATGAATTCCATGTTGTACAAGTCACTTAAATTTTACAAATACATGTGCTGGGCTGTGAACAGCTCACGTATTTGTAAAATCTAAGTAGTTGTAAAATCTAAAAGAGGCAAAGGACGAAAAATAAAGAAGTGAAAAAGGTTGAAAATTTACGGGTCCATATTTGCTGAACAGAAGATCTATTTAACATTTCTCACTACCACATCTTTTGTCCTTTCTCATCTTTTCCTCCTTTTCCCAAATTTTGGTCTATAATGCTTTGAGTCACAACTCCAGCTTTATTTAGTAATCCTTCTGCATTCACACATCTCCAAGTATTTGAAAATATTTTCTTTCCACTCAAAAATAAAATATGAATAAAGGTTTACGGCTTTGTGAAACTTTTTTTTGAGTTTATGCCATTGAAATAAATAAATAATAATAAATTAAAACATTTGTCGGTTTTGTTTACACGTTTATTGGGCTGCATCGGAACTTGCCTTGGGCCGCATGCGGCCCGTGGGCTGGACACCACTGATTTAAATCTTTTCTTTATAATGATTAAATTTAAATCAAGTTTTGATAATTAACTAACAAAAGTGGAATTTTTTTTGGCTGATTAAGATGTACATAAAGAAATATACTCGAAAGTTTTTCTGAGGTAAATTCATTATATCCATTTTTTGATTCTCACCATCAATTTTAGTACAACTTTTTATAGAGAAATTTTAAAACATCAACAGCACACTGCAATATATAACAACTAACCTCCAAAAAACCAATAATGGTGCATTTTCTCAAAAAATAAACTGTCACTAACGTTTTCAAACAATAAAGTCCTTCCTCAGGTGAGAAACAGATGAAAAATTCAATAAAAACTCGATGGAACACTTTCTGAAAGAACTCCATAAAACGATTCAAAGGCATCGTTTCGCATGCGCCTTCCTCAGAAGGAGAATGCGCAATGATGTCGTCACTCATTCAAGGTTTCTTTCAAATTGTTTTATGGAGCTCTTTCAGAAAGTGTTCCATCAAATTTTTATTGAATTTTTCGTCTGTTTCTCACCTGAGGAAGAACTTTATTGTTCGAAAACATTAGTGACAGTTTGTTTATTTTTTGAGAAAACGCACCGTTATTGGTTTTTTGGAGGTTAGTTGTTAGAGAAATTTTAGATAAAAACATTTGGATACCTAATGGTATACATGTCACAGTCAAAGTCAGAGTCACACATTTCAAATTTGCCAAGATCAGTGTCAGACTATTTGTTTACTGACTCCACCACACTGGTTTGCATTATCAATCTTTGCTTATAAAATCAGTTTTAACAGCAAAGTTCCTCATCCCTGCTCTACTGTATAACAGCAAGTTATACAGTAGAGCAGGGATGAGGAACCTTTTTGTTCATTAAAGCCACATTACAATTCATTGTCCCTTATAGAGGCCGCATTGAAATTTTTTTTTGACATTTTATCCCTAGGCTTAGGCCACTAAGTAATTTGAAAGTTATGTAATAAAAGAAAGACAGTGTGTGTATTATAAATTTATGTATAATAACTATAGAAAAAAAATAAAGGTCTTAAAATATATATATCAACATTTACATCACAGGCCGCAGAAAGCCACACTTGTTGGTGCAGAAGGCCACACTTGTTGGCCCAAAAGGCTGCATGTAGCTTTAAGGTCGCAGGTTCCCCATCCTTGCAGTAGAGCATCAATTATCTGAAACAATTCGGGACTGGAGTTGTTCGGATAACTGATTTTTCAGATAACTAATCATTTACAAAAAAATATATTAAACACAAAACTGTACTGTATATAATTTGTATCAGACATTTTACAAATACATACCTTACATAATGTAATATATTGAACTAGGCCTACAGTTCAGTTTGGCAGGGAAGGGAAGAGTGCTAAAATGCCACAGTCCTAGCAGAAATTTGAATTTGCCAACTGGAATGCTTTCAGTTAACTGATGTTTCAGTTGATCAGTATTTGGATAATCGATGCTCTACTGTATTATCAAGTATATATTATATGTTTAAGAGAAACATCTACCGTGTTTCCCCGAAAATAAGACAGTGTCTTATATTAATTTTTGCTCTAAAAAATGCACTAGGTCTTATTTTCAGGGGGATGTCTTATATTTCCATGAAGACGAATTCACATTTATTGTTGAACAATACGCTAAACAGGTTCGAGAGAACACCTTGCGACACATTCAACTTAACCTTTTTATAGTGCCACATCGAGCTCAATGACCAATTAGTGCTTACTGAACCGTAGCACTATACAAATGTGATGTGGCGTGATTCCCAGCCGACCAATTAGCGATCACCAGCGATAACATTATGCAAATCTGTGATTCCCAAGCCATAGTCTTATGCAAATCATGCCGTGTGGCGTAATTGTCTGCTGACCAATCAGTGGCTGTACTTTCAACCATCTGTCGATGACCGTTACGACTAAAAAAAAACTTCGCTAGGTCTTACTTTCAGGGGGAGGTCTTATATTTCGCAATTCAGCAAAATCTGTGCTAGGTCTTATTTTCTGCGAATGTCTTATTTTCGGGGAAACACGGTATCAGAACAAATATAATTGTTTGGAAAAATATATTAAATGTCTACTGAAAAATTGATAACTGGCTTCAAACCTTCTATTCTGTAGAGATAAATACAAATTATAAATGGTAAAATAAATATAGTGGAAATAATTAATTTTATTTCATAGAATAATATGCAAACAACTCCACTAAAACCTGATACATTATATTACTAAAGCCAATCAATGCTGTATGTCATCAGGCTAGATAACAGCATTATTAGTATTATAGCCATTATGTAACACGATGACATACAGCATTGGTTGGCTTTTAGATTAATATGTATTTTACTTTTTATTTTAATAAAACATTAATTATTACAATTTACTTTATTAATGCTAAAACTTTTTTTTTGTTTTAGAAAAACTTTTCTTCCTGAAAAATTTCTTTTTATAATATCAGTTTAAAATTTTAGGTACTTGAAAAATTTTTTAATTTGAAATTGTAATCTTTATAATTTCACCTATATATAATAATAATAATAATAATCTTGTCTTGATTTTGAGATGAGATGATAAAGTTTGTAGCTTTCAATACATTTTTTAAGATATAAAACTTTATAGAAAATGATATTAGAAAGAATTTATAGCAAAAACTATATGCTTTAAATCAATAATTGTCTTCATTTTATTGTTAATATTTTGAGATAATTTGAAGTAAATTATCAGCAAGTTATGTTATGTTTCACAATCTAATTTTAAAAATATTAAGGTTAATTTAAGAACTAATTAATATATAAATTTATAGTTCTTTTGGTATATATATCTGGTATTTGAATGAAATATATATTGTATATTTTATATAATAAATTAAATACAGTAGAACCTCGATTATCCGGACTAATTGGGGATGAAGGTAGTCCGGATAAGGAAAAATCCAGATAATCGAAACAAATACTTTAATTTGTCTTTTAATGATAATACAACACGTTTTTTTTTCGATGACATATAAAAGTAAATACTGTATTTAAACCGTGATCAAATTTTCAAGAAACAAACGTTTGTATTGAATTTGGACTACTACTGACAACACTAACAGACTACCTATTGTTTAAAAGGCCCTCTGGTAGTGCAAGAAGACGGATTTTATAAAATAAAAAGCAGTTGAAACTGCATTTTTATGAATAAAAGTTTGACAAACTATTTATCGTTTTATAACAAGTAAAATTTTTTCGTCGCGTTTGCGGCTTTTAAGTAATGCATAAACCTTCGAAACGCGAGGCCCTTCGGACCGCAAGGCATAGGCGGTGGCCCACGTTGCTCATGCCTTATGCCGCCCTTGGTCATAGAAATGATGTAATTTGAAAATAAATTATTTATAAATATGTATGTCAGGTTATATTTTTATTACGACGCAAAATATATTTAAGAGTTTACAACCACTGTGCCGGGTGAGACGTTGTTGAAACAAAAAAAGTTATGTATTCCATCATGTACATAAACAGTATCGTAATTTGCCAAGTGCAAATCAGCAAATTCGTAAAATTTTTGTTTATTTTGAACAATCTAGATAATCGAAAATCCGGATAATGGAGGTCCAGATAATCGAGGTTCTACTGTATTTAAAAATAGAAGTTTTAACAATTGGTAAATGTAAAATTTTCAGATATGTTGTTTTAATTTATATTTTTAAGAATTAAATTCATATTATATAGAACAAATAATTACTTGAGGTAAATAAATAACACTGCATTCTTGAATTTCAGAACTTAATTTTTCTAGTTCTTTTTGAGCTACTTTAGTCATAAAATCTGGTAGACCATTATATGTTCGTTTTTCTAAAAAGTTAAAAGAAATTATTTAGACAATATACTTTGAATATTTAATAATAAAAATTTGAAAAAATAACTTGTTTACAAAATTTTAATTTAAAACAATATTTTTTAGACAGTGAAGATTAATTTTATACAGTGTGTTGCAAAAAATTTGACACATGTTAATGTCAGCATATATGTAAGATTTCTATTTCAATAGTGAATGGTCCTATGCTTAAAGCATAGTGACATATTATGATTTTTCATATCATGATAGTGATCCCAGAATTTTATTAAAATAACCAAATTTTCAAAAATAATGAAACAGATTCAAACTGTGTCTCATTCAACTTTCTAAAACTTAAAAATAAGAACTACCTTACTTTTTTAATTTTAGGTATATTATTTGTATATTTGTAATTTTATATGTTTATATATATACATACACATAAACAAATAAAATTAAATGGAATAAAATCAAAATATTTTTTAAATACATACTGTAATCTAGCCGTTCATCTACTCCAGGTTTCACAACAAAATGATTTTGATTATCTGACTCTTGAAAATCAATCTGCAAACATTAAAATAGAATTATTATATTAAAAATATAAAAAGAAAAAATTAATTATATTTACATAACAAATAGTCAAGGGAGAAAAAGAAAATATTAACATAAAACTGAAAACATATTGAAGTAATCATCTTATTAACTTCTGTTCTTCAGATTTATACAGTAAATTGAATGATCCCCAAAATAGAGTATTTGTCAAAAAAATATTCTTGTATTTAGTAAAAATAATAAAGATAACTATATGGATTTGTGAAATATATTATATATTTAAAACTATAACAAAAAGTTATTTATGATTATATTGTGATGTACTGTATATGTGAAAGTACGTACCCCGACAAAAAGAAAACATACAAATATTCATAAAAAGAAAAAATCATGATCCCCACATGATAGTGACTGACTGAACCCTAGTCAGGAGGCCTGGTATGAAGATGGCCAGCCTAAATAACCTAGCAATTTAGTGCACTGAAAATGATTTAGCTCAGGGGTGGCCAACATGAGGCCCGCAGGCCGCATGCGGCCCGCCGGGAGTTGTGTTGCGGCCCGCGGAGCTAGGTCAAATGAACATAAATGTTAACTTTATTGTAATATCACCAAATGAACATTAGAAGAGTTAAGAAGGTTTGGAAGAGTTCTATGTATTTGGACAAGGATAAATATCTTGCGTTTTACAAACATGCTCTGTCAATGGTTACGCTATTTGGAAACACGTATGCGTGTGAACAACTTTTTAGTCGCATGAAGTATATCAAATCACAAGTGAGAACACGAATTACTGATGTTCATTTGGAAAACTGTTTGCGTGTAGCGACAACATCAGTCCAGATCAATTTTGATGCACTTACTTGTTAGTTCTGTAAAACAAAGTCAAATTTTTAAATTGTCTAATAAATATGTTTCTCGGTTATTAAATAAATGATTCTCGGTTATGTTTTATTTTCTTCAAAAAAATAAATATACCTATTTTTTGTGTTTTTTTACATTAAATCAGGCAAGTGTTTGACCACGATCTCACCTACTGGAAAGCAACGATGCAGATGAAGGTGTAGCACGCTTGCTTGTTTACTTTAATTTTAAAAAAATTTGGTGCGTGGCCCGGCAGGAAATATTATTTTTGAAATTTGGTCCGCCTGCTAAAAAGGTTGGCCACCCCTGATTTAGCTAAACAAATAAATTTTAGTGATGTAATCAAAAAATTTGCTTCGGTAAGTCAGAAAATTTACTGCAAAATAATTTAATTGATAGTTTCTTGGGTTTTGTCTTATTGATGTGCTTTGTTTTTCAATTTCTGTCTTTCTTTCAGTTCTTGTGTTGGTTCCTATTTTGTTTTTGCTTTTAATGTCATGTTAGTCATTGTAAAATTTGTCAGTGTAATTCCTCTGTTCTCTCTAATAAATCTAATCTATGTTTTTGTAAATGCATGCTTAATTTGTGAATGAAAATAATATTTTTTCATTTATCTGCCTTATCATATCCCAAAGCAGCCATGGGATGAGTGGTTATGTCTCTTGCCTCACACCAAGGTCTTGAGTGGGGAGGGAGAGAGGGAGGGGCTCGCCGATGATCCTGGTCTGGGGCTCTGCTACAGGAAGTGGGGGCCATGGAAATAATAACTTTATTTTTGCATGTTATTTTCAGTTAGGTTTGCGACATAAAAAATATGGACTAATAATATTTATGATCAAAGTAAAACGAACTATGATTAAGGCTTAAAAACAAACTTAATACTATGGAAGAAGGGAGGTGATAGATAGATAGATACAGAAAATATAAGAAATAGGATTAGAAGAAAGTGGGTAGTCAGGCTTTGCATTAATCATGGGTGGGATGCCAACTCTGGTTTCTTTTTCTTGGGAAAAAGGATGATCTCTCTTTTCCAAGCTTGCCTTGGTATCTCGTATGAGCCTCTTCTCATCTCCAATCACTGCCAGAAACACGACCTGAAGCACAACCTTTCACATCCTTTCCTAGCGACATCCAAGCCAAGAGTGTCTGTTACTCCACTCCTTAGCCCTCAGGACCTCTTTCTCTTCTTTTTGTTCTAAGAATTAGTTATCACCGCCCAAGGGAAAGGGTTAGGGAAAAAATTCTAGAAGGTATAGAACAATGGAACAAAGAATAAAGAAGGAAACTAAACTAACTTTAAATTAACATATATACAAAATATGATGGTGTACAGCCACAATATATCATAGATTCATAGTTAATTATTTTTAAAATCAGAGATTTTACTGAATTATCAGTCTATGATTAGACTACTATTTTTATTTTTAAAGTTTAAAAACTAAATAAATAACTTGCAAAAAAGAAAGAAGTTAGTGAAACTATGGAAAGAGCAAAATAGATGTAATTAAACACAGAGAAAAACTCATTTTAATCAAAAGAACTCATAGTTAGTTAAGATTTAAAACTTAACAACTGTTTAACTCCTTAAAATAAAATTGTTAACTATGTTATACTTTTAAGTATTAGTTTCTGAACATGAATCCATTCAAAATAACATGCAACAATTCTTTATTATGCTGTTATAATTTATTAGTGAAATTTCACACATTCAATTAATGAAATTAGTCAATCAATTAAACAAAATATTTTCTTCCTTATAAAATCAGAATTTATTAAAACTGAAAAATACCAATATAAAAGCAATGATACTGTAGTGACTCCTGTAGACCGAAATCCACAGAGTATCTGAAGAAAATAATGTGATAAGGACTCAATAATTGGCCAAAGACATGTGCACATAATCAACAAAAAAATTATTTATTTTAACAACACTAGGTATGATTGCACTCAATACAAAAGACAAGAGAACCTGGTGGTACAATTAATACGATTCAATGCATGCAACACAACTGATTCATGTCTTACAAACTAAAAAGATTTACACATATATATATATATATGTGTAAATCTTTTTAGTTTGTATATATATATTGTTATGTATATATATATATGTATATGTGTGTAAATCTTTTTAGTTTATAAGACATAAATCAGTTGTGTATATATATAAGACATGAAGGTGTGTATATATGTATATATATATATATATATATACACCTCCATCTCCTCTATACATTTATTTCATGCAATAGCCCTAGAAAATCCACGATGACACGTTGGTTGCTAATATGATGAAAACGTATACGTACTAAATTTCAATATTTCAAAACTAAATGTCCCATTGGAGTCCTTGGGTGATCTCAGATGCACAATGTATGCTACTAGCTGATATCTCACTATTTGGATACAATGGAAACAGATTGTCCTATCCCATTGAAGATGTCTCTTTGTTGATGGCAACCATCACAAATGTCTCGCTTGAAGGTTCCAACTAATTTCTCACTTTTTGTCTTTCCAGAATAGTCCAAAGGGGGGAAAGAGAGCTAATAATGTACGAGTTCCTCAATTTATACTTCCTGCAGTCTGGAAGTAGGCCTCTTGCACATGACACTACCCCAGACCAATCAGAGGCTCCAATCATTGCACTCTAGAAAAGACGACTCCAGGGCAAAAGAGGAAAGGATCACGTGATACACCATACAAAATTTAAAAAAATAATAATAATAAAAATAATAACAGAACATTAAGTACAAAAAAAACAAAGACAAACAAAAAATATATATATAACACATAGTCATATAGCACTACAATACAGAAATTAATAATTAAATGAATTTTTTATTAAAGTTAAACAAGATTATCTTTTAATAGTTTTAATATATTAATGAAATAATTTAAAACAAATTACAGTAAACCCCAGCTAACTTGGACTTTGCATAACTCAGCTAAATTGTTTCTTGACAATAGAAAAATTATAATTAAATTAATGAATGTATTTGATACTGTATCTGGAAGTCTTTGCAATATTATGCATTATATTATTGTAGTTAGTACTAGAGACTGTACATTGCTCTATACTGTACTGTAATAAATTTTTTTTTACATTTTCCATTTCCTGTAATAATAAATTCAACAGTATGAACTATTAAAGTTCAGTAAAACTTCAGTATAAAACTGATCATAATAAATTACTGTATAACAACATTCTCTTTTTCCACATCATCAGAGAAAACACTCCACTAACTTGAATTTTTGTAAATTTTGACACTTGCCCTATTAGTCCAAGTTAGTAGAGGTGTACTGTATTAAAATTTAGAAATGTCTAATAAAAAAGATGAGATCAAAATGATTTTCAAGACAGAGAATCTATAAAAACTAAAATCAAAATTATTAATAAAATTTAATAATTACAAATGATGCCTACTTCTAATAATAAAATTTCCCAGTGATGCATTATAGCTTCATTGGGCCCAGATGAATTTGAATTATGGAAACCCATGTACAGTGTTGACTTCAGACATTTTTCTTTGGGGGAATTTTTGGGGGAAAATATTTTCTTAAAAAAAAATTGGTTTGGGGCCCCATGGAACAAAACTTAGAACCACGGTAGGAATAAAACAAAAACAAAACTGCTTGCTTTAGGAAACCAAATATGTTTTAATGAATAATGGCAATAATTAATTAATTAATAATAATAATTTATGAAATAAAGTGTTTTCATATATTGAAAACTTATTTTTAGATTATTGATAATAGTAAAATTTTTACCTCTGCTATAAAACTTAAGAAAAGTAAAATTAAAATGAAAATTTTAATTTTCTTAATTTTCTCAAGGTTAAAGTTTAATGTTAAAATATAAATAAACTTACTATTTTGTTTATTAATGAAGAAATACGACATAAATCTGTTGTAAATGTTTCAGTTATCTATAAAGAAATATTTCAGTTAAAACTTTAGAGAATTAATCTTAAACAAATGTAAAATATTATAAAATTATATTTTAATTGCAAAATATTAAATAAACTAATTTTAATAATAGTGTAGCTACTGTTCAAATTGCCATTGTTATAAATCTTGCTTATTGTACTGTAATTTAATNTAATTTACAATTCCTCCGAGACTGCATATTAATCAATAAAACAAAACATACTCTAACACCTTGTAAACATGCAGCCGAATTTATTAATTTCTAATGTTTTCGGTCATGTTAAACCTTTATAAAAAAAATAACTGTAAAAGTCATACACTTAACACATTTGCATGAATGAGCAGGCTTTTCAAACATTTTTGAACAATATTCTATTGAAAATTAGGTGCGCCATCTTTATCAGTAGCTAATATTAAAACATAAAAATAAAAAATAAATATGTTTTTTATTTTTATGTTTTAATGTTTATAATCTGTTGCAACATGTACAATGATATTTTCAGTTTTCTATAACTATTGTTCACAGATCTTGGACAACCTAAGCAATTTAATAATTCAAACAGCCTTTACACTTATTAATATTCAGACTGTAGTCAGAATGTATTGTATTTGTGACATCTTTAAAATACTGTAATACTTTAAAACTCAGCATTTGTTTGCCATTAATTTATCAGTTAGCTAAGGGTGTAATTTTTTCACGCTATAATATTACATAAATTTGGTGTTAATTTTTATTTATTTTTTTGATATTCCCAGTTTTAAAAATTATTAAATAAATAACGAATTATCATTAAATATTAATTACAGATTCTGTCAATAAGCTTTTAGGTTTTAATATTTTAATAATTAAAAAAATTGCAAAACTAAAACATAATTATAACACCATTAAATATAGATAAAGTTAAATGAATAATAAATACATGGTATGTTCAAAAAGTTCATGGAAAATAATTTTTTCACCTATTTTATTGACTATGTATATTTAGACATTTCCCTCAAAGTACTGTATTCACCTTCTGCAACAATACAGCAGCCATAGAGTACTTTGAAAACATCTTGTAACCCTCATTCACAATTATCTGAAGTATACGTTTTGCAGCAGCAATCACTTCATCTGTGCTGTTGAATTTTTGGCCTTTCATGTGTGTTTTCATGCAGGAAAACAGGTGAAAATAACACAACACAAGATCTTGTTAGGTGTATTAAGTTCACGGGTTGGATGTCACGCCAACTTATGTCAATCAAAACTTCTTCTTCCAAGAACGTCAGTCTATGAGGCGTTAAATATACAACACAAGATCTGGTGAGTATGGAGGATGTAGAACTGTGATAGAATGTTTACTCAGATACCTCTGAGTAAACATGTCTGAGTAAACAGAATCTTGTCCATCCTCCACAAGAAGGACTCAATAAGCAAGTGCACATTAAACTGTACTCCAAAATCTTGCTTTCACCCTGTCTAAAAATGCATGCATAGATATGTTGCAAACTGATTATGACATTACTACTAGAGGATTTGATCCCGGGATCTCAAAAATCGGGATCCCGGGATCCCGACAACTTTTCAGTCCCAAAATTTTCGGGATTAAGTTTTCCTAATCCCGAGATTTTCGGGATTGACATCATTTTAAAAAAGTTGCAAAATAGACTGCATGAAGCGAAACGTTCAGTGCCAGTGCTTTTAACAGAATTGCTTGCCTATCATTTTAATATAAAATACAAGAAATTTTATTCCAAGCAAGCAGCAGAAATTAACCTAGCGGGCTTGCGATGCTTGCTTGGAATAAAACTTCTTGTATTTTCAACTAAAATGATAGGCAAGCAGTTCTCACTGGGTTACTTGGTAATATACTTCATTTTTGTATTTTTGAATTTTCGCGGGCGCCAATCGATTTTCTGGCGCAGTCGAGAGCACTACTCAGTGCGTTTTACCTGTCAATGTGTCAGCCATCTTGTTTTGCCAGTGTAGTTAATATAGACCCGACGCCTCTCGCTTAGGGGGGTCGACCTTAGGTGAAAAGGTTACGACCCTCGCCTTGCCCGCGATCTGTCAGGATGATGCGAGAAAGTCTTTTTACGTTTCGGGGTAGTGGTTTGCTGGACGCTGAGAGACTCACACAGAGACCGAATTTACAAAATTAACGCGTTTATTTTTAGAAAGACATGCTTACAATGATCGAAACAATCGGGATTGTAGCCTTTACTCCTACAATCCCGATCCGTGTCGACCGGACTGTTTTCTTCCATCCTCCCCGTGTCCTCGAAGCTTATAAGTATTTACTAACGATTCCTCCAACTTCCATCAAACCTAAACGCGTTTTCTCAGCAGCTGCATATATGTGCAACAAATTGAGAAGCAGACTTGGTGATGAGACACTGGATGCGTTGTTATTTCTCAGATCATATTTTCGCAATTCAAATTAGAATGTTCCTATTAGATTAGTTTTCTTTATATTTAAGAAAAATGTGACTGATTAATATTATTTTTAAATACTTTTTGCTAAGAAACTTACTTTACTACCTACTTACTAGGTTGTTATATGAAAGTAGTCTATTTAGTCGATGTTAAGAGAGATTTTTGTTAATTTTCAACGTTTATTTGCATAGTTTGTTACATAAAGGTTTTTTCAATTTATGTGAGTTTAAAGAGATCTCAGTGATGCTTAAAAAAGAATAAATTTAACATGAAACAGTGATTTTAAGTCTGGTTAGTCTGACTCTAAGTCTGATTAGTTAGAGTGATTAAATTAACTAGGTGTATACCGTAAAATACGTTGATTTTTGTCTAAATTTTGATTTTTGATTTCTGTAAGATTTTCTTAATTTTTATTAACCTTCAATACCGAAATAATCCCGGGATCCCGGGATTGAATAAGTATAATTCCGAAATCCCGGGATTAGAAATAAGGACCGGGATCGAATTCCCTAATTACTACCTTGTGCTGTGACTCAGTATACAGTTGTCAACCATTTTAAAAAAAATCTGAGTCATTCTCATTCCACCTACACACATTCAAAAAGTTTGCAGAAAATGTCTGTAATGTATCATACATAAATTTCATACATACAAGATGTTAGAGACCACTCAAACCACATGCTTTCCAAGAAAATTTGTTGTATAAAGCTGGGGAAAACTTTTTCATAGTCAAAGCTCATATTGTTGTCAAATAAGACCCAACCAAGCCATACTCTGAATTTGCATATCAGAATAGAGATCAGTTTTTAATTAATAAAGACAAACATCTTACATTGTACTTACTTTTCTAAAAATATAAATAGACTGTGGCTGCATTCGACATATATCTTTTATAAGAACAGAATTATAAACAGTCTGTTAAATGAATGAAAACTAGTATTAATCACTTAAAGAGATTGATGTTAACTTTATTAATGAAAATTTTTAAATTAATATTAAAACTGATTTGGTTANATATTAAGATAATACAAATATACAGAGGATTTATAAAAGCTTAAGAAAATATAAACTTTAATTTTATAAAAGCATAACTATAAAATTTAAACTACAAATCAATATCATAAATTGTTGAATAAGCTCTTAAGTAATGTTAAAGAATGAATGATACTTATCTAAAACTTCATGTAAGTGCATAAAGATAACAATTACGTAAATTGAATAAAAAAAGTTTTAAATGTAACTGAAAATTTGGAGAAAATATAATTATTTTATAAATATTTTTATCATTAGACTTTCTTTAGAAAATTGCATCTATTTTTTAAAAAATTACAAATTATTTTCAGATATTTATTTGAATATATTAGTAATATATTTATAAACAATAAAACAGGAGTAATAAACAAAATTATTATACCTTATATAATGCTTTCCAATCATTAACTGAAGCATGAGAATTTAACATATGAGAGAGAATACGCTATTAAATAATAATTTTGAAGATTAATTGAATATTTTAAGAAATTTTAATTACTAAAATTACATAATTAAAATATATTGAATGCAATGACAGCTGAGCTAAGATTAATTCATCACGTAAAAGAAGGTAATTTATTTATTTTCCCATTTAATTTACCTTTTTAATTTATCTACGGTAGATAATTTGTTACTGTTTGTAAGTTCTTATACAAAATTTTATTACGATAATTTATTATTCTAGTAATTTTAAAATCAAACATCATTACTAAAATAACATAAAATAATTCACAAATTAGCTTACATTGAAATATTTATTTTATTTATTCTAATAAGAGTTCCTTCTATCAGAAAAATTTAATATTTTTTATACTAAATTAGACACTTTATTTTTGTTCTTTCACTAATAATTATTTTATTTCTTTAAAATATTTTATAAGTAATGCTTACTGGAATGTATTTTATATTTTTTAAACAATTCTGCAAGTTATAAACAACTTCAACATTTTGAGGTGTAACAAAATAAGCAACTGCATCCTGTCTTTGTTTTAAAATTTCTAGATCTTGAGTAGGCTGTAATAGCAATTTCCTACAAAATATTTATAAACTTTAACTTAAAATATTCTAATATTGTTCAGTAAACAACTTTATAATATACACATATGATAATGTGCATGTGAAAATTACAGTAATTCATTATTTTGCAAAAGATTAAATCTTTGCAAAAAAAATATTAATTTACTAAGTGTAATTCCATAAAATGCAGATTTCAGTATAACACTACTACAGTAAAACCTGTGTAAATCAGAATCAAATGATACTGAATTATTTTTCCACTCTGGCAGGTTTCTGTTTTGAATGAGTTTTAGTATTTTTTTTTTTAAACTTGAAACTACATCAGATAAATATCACACAGATAAGTTCAGTTTTTACAGTAAAATCATTTTTATATGCATTAAAATAATTTATTACTAAACTTAATAAAAAGTTCCAACTAAAGATGGGAGTATTCAAATGCAAGAATTGAGAATTATTTGATTTTAAAACATTCTTGTTGTTTCCAAGGGCTTGTGCTAGATATATAAATACTAAAGAGTTCACTATAATTAAAGAATCTTCAAATACCGGATTAAAATACAAAAATAATCCCTCATCAAACCCTTTAACCGGTATTAAACAAGAGTAAAATTACATGCAAACGTTTTCGGATCCCTCCCTGGGTCCTTTCTCAAGCAACTATCCTTCTTTAAAATTCGTTAGAACGAAGACCAGTAGAACGAACTTCTTCAAAACTGTGATATTCGAAAAACTACTTCTTCCGAACCACATTCGAAATTCAAATATCAATGTGAATCACGTGCATTCCAGTATTACGTAATGTAATGCTCGTTTTTCTTAAAAAGGTTTTTATGGATTTTTACGTTAACGAAAAAATAAAGAAAAAATAAAATAGCATATCAGCGGGTATGAAGTTTTAATACCCTATTTACTATATGTATTTATTAATGTGAATCCTCCTTCTGGAGTAGGGCCTGCCATGCTAGGGACAGGGTAATCTTATCCCTCGAGTTAATAGGTGCAAAAGTGTTGTATGCTTTGCAAATTTCCATTTGTTCTAACCACTTGAGGTGGTCTGTAAATGGTGTAGTAATGAGGAGTTTGGCGTTGTCGAAGTTTGCCAAAATCTCTGGGTCTGACGCATACATGGATAACGACATAGAACCCCTTTTGTGGAGGAAGTCCCTTTATCATTTTTTGAACATCCCTGTATCAAAAAATAGCTAAAAAACAAGGAGTACGCTTATCATACAAAAGATGCCCATCTATGTTTAAGCTTCTATGCAATGAAAAAGATAAACCTAACAAGTATAAGCTACCAGGGGTATACGCTGTCTCTCTCATGGACCATAGATTTGGGAGGGAATTGGTCTACATTGGCACTACTAGACGTGCTATTGGTGTCAGATGAACTGAACACTGACGAGACATCCTCCACATTGTTATCCATGTATGCGTCAGACCTCTAACGAATCATCACCCCCTTCACTACAAAATTCCGATGCCGAGGGACAAGGCTAACACCAAATTCGTACTGCATTGAACAGACTAGTGGCTAGTATAATGTTATTTTTTTAATTATTGTACGATATAACGAATAAAATATCTAATTATTCTTAATATAATGTTTTACTATATCGCCCAGAAAATTGTTTTTCGCCCCCCAAAATATAAATTGTTACTAATCGCCCCCTCAACATGGAAAAATGCCCACATGGGGGTGATATCGCCTCCGTTGAGAAACACTGCACTAGGCCATTGGAAATTCTAAATGGATTATAACAGAGACCAATTATTCTATTATGATTCTATTTTGGCTTCTTGAGGAATTTTAACATCAAACATCCAATATACAAAGTGGGCCATTATAATCATCCACTTTCCAATCTTTACAAACAAATTGCTAAAGACAATGATATTAATCTAGCATACAAACAGAACCTTACAATTTAATCTTATTAAGGAAGTGATTTGTTATTTATTGATCTTTAGAGATCAATATATAACAAATCACTTCCAGGGTCTACTCTAAACTAGGTTTTCGTTAAAATGTTTGTCTACTCCATCCCCCATGATGGGGGATGGAGTAGACAAATATTTTAACAAAAACCTAGTTTACACAGAAACTACAAGATCATTGGACAAATGGATTAAAAGGAGCATATATGCTCTATAAAAAAGGCCTATCTCCACCACCCTGAGTTCATACATAATCAAAAATGACATTGATATAGCTTATGATTAAGCTCACATTATACATCCCAGCTATAATTGGTCCAACGTAAAACACCTGGAAAGGTTGAAAATCTTCAAGGCATCTTTTAAAGACCAGCAATTAGTTATGGGAGGCAGAAGCATTCTCCCATACTTGAAGATCTTTATTTCATATTCCCTTTTTAAGATTCAATCTCATCTTGCAAACCTAAATGCCATCATCGATCACATCAGTTACAACCAATAGTATTACCCTATGTTAATTTTTTTTTAAATTTCCTGTTCTATCTTCCAAATTCCATTTGGAAGATAGAACAGGAAATTAAAAAAGCAACCTGAAGATGATAGTTTAAGTTTGTCAAAAAACATTTATTTTTATTAAGTATTTCTTAAATTAAAATTTTACTGCTGGATTTTCTGGTTTTTAGTTTTTTTTAATGTTTTTCATATCCCAAAATCTAATTTCCACATCGGACAGGTTTACAGCTTATGATAAAACTTAATGTAAAAAAATTCTCTCCATTCCAAAGAAATTTTTCCATTTAGCCAGGTTTCCATTTTATTCAGGTTCTATTTTAGATAGGTTTTAATGTATAAATGATTATAGTGTTTATATCATTGAAATATTTTAAAAAGTTTTAATTCATTGACTCATTTCATCCAAGTAAGATACAAATTATTCTAAAAACTCAATAACAATTTAGAAATGAAATTTTCAGATTTAAACTATAAAATGTTCAATTATATTATTTATAATTAAAATACAACGATAAAGTATTTTAAAAAACTGATTAAAAAAACATTTGACAACTAATAAATAGTGAGTTATACTTATTATTATGTTAGGTTTAGTGAGTTATACTCAGTTGACACTGGTGGCTGTGTACTATGCCAGACAAGAGTCAAGGCATAGCAACCAAAAACTAAAATTAAATAAGTGTGTCAGTGTCTGTATTCAGGAATTTCCTAACAATATGGCATGTATTCAATATAGTGGCCTTCTGTAGTGTGATGTATGTATTTCTATTCAATTGTAATGTTCCCAGGCTTTGTAGTGTGTGTGGTATCATACCTGTACAGGAGAGAACGACAGGTACAATAAGCACCCTTTCCATCCTCCACAGATGCCTTATTTCCTGGGTGAGTTCTGTGTACTTGCTAATTTTTTCAGTGCACGTGTTTTGTATATTGTGAGTGTTTGGAATGGCTATGTCTATAATGTATGTGATTTTATTGTGTTTGTCAATGAGTGTGATGTCTGGTCTGTTGTGGTAAATTGTTTTATCTGTGATTATGGCTCTGTCGTAGTACATTTTGTGCATGTTGTTTTCCAATATTGTCTGTGGGATGTATTTATAGTATGGTTCGTGGATGTCTAATTTGTGTTTCTTTGCAAGTTCTTGGTGTATTGTATTTACTACTTAATTACTTGTGTCTGTGTAAATAATCTGTCTGTGCCAGGAGCTTACAACCTGAAGTGATGTGTTGTATAGTTTCTGGCATGATGTGACATTTTCTGCATGTGTCATTTGTGAGTGTTGTATCTTTGAGTATGTATTTTCTGTAGTTTTTAGTATTTATGACCTGATCCTGTATGGCAATCACGAATCCTTTCGTTTCCCCAAAGAGGCATCCATAAGCTAACCAGATGTTTGACACTGATGATAAGCCATAACATTTTAAAATATATATAATTTCAAATCAAAATGGCAGAAGATATACTTCACAATTCAAAACATGGAAGAAACCAAGATTTCTCTGCAAAGAAAAACTGTTTTATTCTTGGTGATTGGACAAAGCAGAAGAATGAAGACAACCCAGTCTCCCACACCCTATACCCTATACCAGGAGTGGTCAACAGTTTTTGCCCCTGGGCCGAATTGGAAAGAAAACTTTTTTCACAGGCCAAACCAGAGGCTGCCCTAGGAAGATTTTCAGGTGGTGCAAGATCTCATTGTGGTGTCACCCTGTAGAGACTAAATTGTATATAGAGATTACAGATACATTTTTCACATTATCATGCATTATCGACATTCTATGCTGTGCTTAAGACATTTGTAATGGAGCATTAGCTCTGAACGCACAGTGAGTTGACTTTTTTTTTTTAGGCGTCAGAATTTTTTGTTGAGCTGTTTGGACTTCAGTAGCTAATATTGAAAGATTAATCACTGGCTGCATAAATTCATTAGATGGGCCAGATCCGGCCCACAGGCTGTATGTTGGCGACCCCTGCCCTATACCATAAAACATACCATCTGCCATTCCAATCTGAAAACATATGCAATAACTTCATTTTTATAACTTGTTTTTTAACAATACTGTAACAATAATTTAATAAATAGCTTAAATTTCTTGTTACATTTATTTATTTATTTTAAACAATGCTTTAAGGAATATATAAAAATTCTCTTCTGCAAGCACCTCTTTTTTTCCACTTAAAGAGACTAATGTGAGAAGCTGAGGGCTTAGGGGTAATAGTTCTAAGCTTTTTTTTTGCATCAAGGATGATAAATCCTCACTCAAGCATCACTGGATGGGAGATCTGAGCGATGAGAGAGCAGATAAGCCAATAGGATCCATTCTCCGAATTAAGACAGGGAGATAGGTTAACAAATAACAATAATTTAATAAACTACACTAAATGAAGGAATACATTAACTGTATATACAACTACACTCAGGTCTTTGCTTGGATAATACATTGTTAGATCTTGCCTATTAACTATGCTAAAGACCGAGAGAGAGAGTTTACAATTCTAAGTAAAATACCTTGGAGAGAATGATGATGTCTTGTGATACTGTTCATTCAATGGTCACAAACCGATTGTGGATCTAGTCAAGGTAGTGTTGGGCTATCATTGGATTTCGTAGGAAAGATGAGAGTTGGGCGGACCGAAGCCTCAATTATGGTGGGACGTGTCCTGTTGATGTTTGCCATTGGTGTCTGCCCCAAGGCTCAAGTTCGAACCCCTTTTATATGAATGGAAGGTGAGAAATGACTCAGGTGACTGGTTTAATGTGATACTATACAATACTTGCATAGATTTAGCCTTGGGGATAATCCACAAAGCAATTGTGGTATTCAAGAAGACCAAACACCACTTCACTTAGTTTTTTGCTGCAATAGGTACAATCACATTAGGGATAGATTAATGAGAGCTGCTATTCTTGAAGGGTACAACTGGCCTTGCAACCCACACCAACTCATTCACACACATACAATGTTTCATCTACTTGCATTCATATCCCTTAGTGGGGCTGTTGAGAGCACTCACTCCAGGGGCACAGATGGCAATTAGCTTTCCCTTGCTTTGTTTCAACTGTCATTATATAGCTGCCTTTTAACTTTGTATTTTAATTCTTATTTTCTGTCTTTTTTCAGTCTAAATTCGGTTAGTCCTAGTTGTAAGTTAGATTAGGGACTCTTAGCTTGGTTTCTGGTTAGGTTAAATTAGATTAGGGTTTGTTGGCTTTAGTCGTCTGGTTAGGTTCATCCTAAGTTATGGTAGGTTAGGTTAGTTTAGTTAGTGAGTAAGTTAATGTTTCAAAAAATATATATATAATAAAATAAAATAAATAAAATTTTAAAAGGATAATCAATGCATCAATTATAAGGAAGAGATTACGTTATCAACAGTGTGGCTAGCGTTTATGAATGGTAATTTATGATAGCCGTTTTGGAATCGACTGTGCATGACAAACAATGACAGAAACGGGAAACGTGCATTCAAACATACGTATTTCGAATTTGAAGTTTTTTACGAGCTGAATTTTCCATCAGAAATTCAAAAAATACCTGAAGAAGAACCATTCCTGGGGTTCGAAAACATTTGTTTTGGTTAGTTACAAGTTAGTAAGGAAGGAGAACACACCAGTAACAGGTTAGAAAGAGTTGTAGTAAAATAAAAAAAATTTGGGGTTTTGCTCGTTTGCTTTTCACGCTGTCTGTCTAGCTGTTTAGTATTAAGATTCATGCTTGTGTTCAGTTTTATTACTATTAAGTAGATATAAGTCTTCCTACTAACAGCCACTTGGCACTAACTTCTACATTTAGCTATTCATGGCAGCACTCAATTATTGGTGTTTGCTACACTCAGGTTTTCTTTTAGACCCTTCGGAGGACTATGGCCTTGCAGCCTAAAAACTGCATGCCATCAACATAAAGGGTACTGTAGCCATATGTATGCCGTTCAGAGGGATCCTATCTTTCTCTACTATCTCCTCTCCCTCCTTCTTCCCCTTACACTCTTTCCTGCCTTCTAAACACTTCTTGTATGGCCAATGTCTTTATTGTATCTACGTATATGGTTTAATGTGGTCTAAGTTCAAGCCATGTCCTGGTTGGCAGATAGGGCTGTCAAGAACTGGATGATTTGACCAAATTATTATTTTCTAGCCGTTATCGAGGCTCGTCTTACCTCATAATTCCATCCAATTGAGAGTTTTCCATCATTAATAATTGAATGTTTTGACTAAGGTTGTAACATAAGTCCAAACATCAAAATGACTTGATTCAGAGGGATATTTGATCAGTCTTATCTATCAGAGTATTGCAAGTGGGAAGAAAAAGGAAGTGGGTTTTTCCCTTTCTCTTAATTTTTTCTAATTATTGCTTTTTTACAGACACGCTACAGTGACATTATTCACCACTTTATTCAGTTGGGACGCTATTTACAAGTTGCGTTTCGGGCATTAGCCCCTCTTCAGCCAACTCAAAAGCACATAATTTAATTGCCCCCTCCAGACTCACACTAATAATGGAAAAATAATATCGCTGGAGTTTGTGAGCTACCCATCGAAAGCCAACTTAGTATGACAATTTTTTAATTGTCTTTATTTACATTTTATTTTCATTATAGAAATTCTGTCTCAATTTTATTTTAAAGTTAGTTTTAAAAAATAGATAACTTCATCAACAAATTTAAAAATAATAGCTGATATTCTTATATTAAAATGTTTCTATTTAATATATATATATTAAATAGAAATGACCGATATTACTGTGAATGACTGATATCTGGCAAATGTCAGCATTCACACAGTCGTTTCATGTATGTACAAAATATTTGCTAAATGTCATTATTTCTCACTTACACCAGCAAATATCGACATTCAGCATGCACTGATGGCAAATGTTGAATAAAAATATTTTTATTACGTTAAAGCAAAAATGCAACTTTTTAATATGTCAAAATAGGAGAAAGCTTAAATAACAGCACATGTAAATAAACTGTTGAACCTAAAACAAACAGTACATTCTAAATCATTAAAGAAAATAACACAATAGTAAACTTACACATATATTATGTGATTAACATTATACAATCTTATTTATTGCAACAACTTAAACTGTTATGGCACTTTGAATTGCACAAGAGACCTTTGCTTTTACAACTGCATTTATTCATGGAACACTTCTTTTTGCAATGACAGCATGTATAGCCTTGCCCTCCACTTTTTGAATTAGCTGCAGCTGCTTTTCTCAGCAATATTTCTTAAGAAAAAATCTCATCTATGGAAAGTAACTTTTCTTTACAAATTACAAACTGATTACAGATATAAAGCTGCTTGAGGGTACCATTTTAGTTTGCTAATTTATAAAAGTCAGAGTCTTCTATAACTCTTCAATAACAATTGCAAACACATTTCAGGCATCTGTATGGCCATGGTCAACATCAGGGACTTGTATTCGTACGGTATCACCAATTTGAGCAGAAGGAAACAGCAAAGAATTTAGTGACAGACCGTCACCTCTCTGTCGACATCGGATTCTCGAGTGTCATTTCGACCTCCACCAAAGCTTATCTGTGCTTGTCAACATACACCAGCAATTGTTTGAATGTATAATAATATAACCAAATATTCAGTCTTTCACCAACGTATTTTGTATGTTGACATTCACCGGAGAATATCGACATTCTCTAATTTCAGTCTTTCACAGTAACATATACCGGTATATATAAACAAATTTCAATGTTCACAAAAAAAAAATCATTTAAAATAAAGCAAAATTAAACAGAAAATAATTAGCAATTTTGCTTTAATTTATTTTGAACATGTTACATGGTGATTTCTGTAACAAACAATTTTAGATATACTAAACGGGATCAAAAAAAAATAAAATCTTTTATTTTTAAACTTCTCATATAACAGTCAACTCAAAGAATACTTTTTTCTGAATTCTTACTTATTAAATTGTATTTGAAATGTTCATACAAATAGACCATGTGACAAAACTCCTGCCACAATAATAAAGAAAATCAAAGAAGTCACAGTCGTTCCTTTTCGCGTCGTTTCTTCCTCACCACTTCGATATTTCTGTCTTTCCAGGTACTCTTCCTCAATTTAATTGGTCGACTGCCTACATACTTCCCATTCATTTCTCTCATTGCTTTAATAAAATCTTGAGGCTGTTTAAAACTAACAAAACCAAATCCTTTTGTCTTGTTTGTTCGCTTATCTCTAATCACTTTTGCTTTTATAAATGATCCAAACTTGCTAAAAGCTCCTGTCAATACTTCATCTGTGACATCGTTTCCCAAGTCTCCACAAAATATTCTGAAATCACCACCTTCCCATTCACGAAGTGAATTATCTTCCCATACCTGGCCACCTGCCATTCTTACTACTTTTCTTTTCTTCTCTTTTTTCTTTGAAAAAAATCATTTCTTCTGTTCCTCCAAAATATAACGGAGTTGAATGATAATCAGAACGTTTTCCTGCATAGTGACCGTCCATTTTTTGAGAAGTAGAAATATTACTGGCGGCTAATTACAAAACGATTCCGTACCCGTAGTTCTATTTTTTACCACGAGATGTCGCTACTTGGTAACGTCAAGAAGCCAGACAAGCATTATTCTAATTTTCAGTCGGTTGTGACGTCACTGAATCACGTGACAGAACGGAATCGGTGTAAATACACCATGTTTTATTTGGTCCCTAATTCCCTAATCTTTTAATTATTTAACTACTTCTTAAGTAGAAATAAGTTGAAACCGGTTACTTTGTGCTCGAATATTTGCAGTCTCGTGAAAAAAGTGGAAAGACAAATTTTTATGACAAACGGATATATAAATCGTAAATTTAAGGAAAATAAATTCTTTTGTACCTTGTGCGTCTCATCCATTAAATTTAGTTGTAAATGATGCTGCCAAAGTAACAGTTAATTTTTTAACATTGTACAAGAATTGTACTTTTTTCTGCATCCCCTTACAGATGGGACATACCCAATCGTAATATCACTAGTTTAATTAACATTGAAATCTGTAAGTACAGTAATACAAAATGGGAGAGCAGAATAAATATATCAAATATTTTAATGGATTTTTTAAAACTCTTGTCAACTATACAGAACTATCATAAAAACAACCCAACCGATAGGAATTTACTGGTAAGTTATAAATCTATTCATGATTCACATAATGGAGCGAGGGCGGCCAAATATCTAGCAGGCAGGCGGCTAACAGTCCAGAACCGGTCCTGGATAGAATCATTGGAAGCGTTATATGATATTTTGGAAGCTGACCCGGTTTCGACAATACAGCGCTTCCATTCCGCCAATGATATTCGAATATACAATAGCGATCTTATCGTTTTTTTCACATGTATAGAATTTGTAATAAGATACATAATGCGGTTATAATAAAATATTAATTTTAATTAATTCAAAGTACAGTACATTAAAATATGAAAACGATCGCGCAATATCTATACTAATATTATAGAGGTAATGTTTGTAAGTTTGTATGCAAGAGCTAATCTCCGAAACTACTCATCCAATTTCAAAAATTTTTTCACCAATATTTACAATGGAACTTCAGGGTGGACATAGGCTGTATATTATTCCGTTAAACATTCATATAAATTAAAAGATTATCTATGATTAAGGATTTTATGTCCAACAGATGGCGCTAACTCCGCGAGTACGTAAGTTTGCTTCTCTGTGAGGCATTATGCTTTTTTGTGAGGATGAACTAAAGCTTAGTGTATATTCTGTTGACGTAATGATCTGATCTGATCAGTACGTCAATAGAATATACACTAAGAAGGGACTTTTCTATATCCCCCCGCGGGGGAGAGGGACAGGATTAACGCTTACCGTGAACAACTTGGCTTCTATTATACTATTTTAGATGCGGGTTTTTGCGTTTTTCATTGCGTTTTAATAGGGTACATCAATAGAATGTACACTAAGATGGGATTTTTCGAAAAATCCCCCCCACGGGAGAAGTGTTATACATTTATAATAAATACATTTTGAGCCACAACAACGCGTGGTGAGGTCTGCTAGTGTATTTATATTTTAGAAAATACAAGGGAAGCGACGCTTCCACCGCATCCAAGGATGGCACGCCACTGCTAGATAGTAAGATTTCCTTTTGAGAAGTACTTATCGCAATAACAAATATTTTCTGATATATCATCCAATGCAATATTCTCCATAACGATTTCTTAACAATGTAACAGGAATACCAATTATCGATGATAAAGTACGGCTTTAAAGCTAAAATATCAACAAAAGAAAATTCCAAGCACACCGTACACTACGAGGTATACGATAACTAAACGTCACGACACTGGCGGCATCTCGTGGTAAAAAGTAGAACTATGGCTACTTTTATAAAAAAAAAAAAAAAAAAACACCATTCGTGCTTTTCCAGCAATAACTTTAATCACAATAAATGTTTTCGGTCAATTTACGGACCTGTAAACTGATTGGAAATAAGGGTCGCAAGACTCAAAACATATGCACACACTGTAATTTACTATGTCGAGAACACTCATTTTATCTGCAAAGTAGATTGCACCGAATTATGCAACAAATGATCTTGCCAAGACGAATTATAAAAAATTAATTTTTCTATGTAATATTCTTAATAGTTATTAATTTGCTATTACAAAGGATTTATCAAACTACAATTATGTAATTAATTTGAAAGTTGACTAATAATTTCTCTATGAAGCTAATATGTACTGTACTGTACATTAAAAATAATAACAGATAAAGAATTCGTACATCCCACAGTACAGAAAGTAGACTACAAAAACAAATTAAAATATTAAAAACAGATATTAAATTTATCATCAAAAACAGCATAAGGAAAAGTTAAAATCACTTTTAAATAATCATTTAAAACAGAAAAACAAAAACCAAATTGATGAAGGGTATTGATATATCCAAAATGTACATACACTGGATAAACCAAGGGGATTGCCCATTGGTTTATCCAGTGTATGTACATTTTGGATATATCAATACCCTTCATCAATTTGGTTTTTGTTTTTCTGTTTTAAAAATGGACTCGTCTAGAATTTAAGTTAACTGTATAGTTGCTGTATATGTTAGGGGGTCATAAGAATTTTAGAAAGGCTTAGGTGGGGCATAGCACAAAAAAGGTTGGGAAACACTGGGTTAATCGGTTAACGAACATAATCCTTTCCAAGACTTTGTTCACTATCCGAATTGTATGTTAACCGGTGAGTGGTTCTGCAATCTCAGCTGTGTTTGCACTTGGCAGCTCATGTAATTGAAACAGTTTTACACTCTTTAAAAAAGTTTCTCTATTTCTCAATTTTGCTTTGTAGTCTTCCTTGTCATTTGTTGAATTTTCTTTTTCTGGTTGCATTTGCACGTGTATTTCAGTTTCTTCACTAGCATAACAAGAATGATTATTTATTTCACTTTTATCCACATCCATTTTCACTTGTGTTGTTGCTGTTAGTTCTTTGTCAAAGACAACATCTCTGAAGATTCTAATCTTTCCTCCAACCAAAACTCTGTATCCTTTTATATTTTGATCATACCCTACAAAGACTCCTTCCTTGCTCTTTGGGCCTAATTTTTTTCTTCTAGCTTCAGGAACATGTATGATACATCTGGATCCAAATACACAGAAATGATCAATGCAGATTCTCTTTCCTGTTAATACTTCAATTGGGGTTCTGTCTGTGACATTGCATTTTCCTGTCAAATTTATGACATGAAATGCTGTATGTATTGCTTCAGCCCACAAGGTTTTGTCAAGTCCTCTTGCATACAGCATGGATCTTGCTAGCTCTATTACTGTTCTACTATCTCTTTCTATTTTTCCATTTTGTTCAGGAGAGTACCCTACTGTTGTCTGATGACAGATGCTCTTACCCTCTAAGTAACTGGACAATTTCTGATTCACAAACTCATGTCCTCTATCATAACAAATAACTTTCACTGTTTTTCCTGTTTGATTCTCTACATATGCTATAAAGTTCCAAGTAAAGAACTTCATAGCATCAGGTGCTTCTTCTTTTGACTTTAGTGTTTTTACAGCTCGAAAATTTGATAATTAATCTCTGAACAGGATGTAGTATTTGGAGCCACCTATAGAGCTATTTCCATTGGTCCTCCAATATCCACATGAATTAAATCTCCTATTTCTTGAGTGACAGTTTCACTTTTGCTAAAAGGTAACCTATGAGCTTTTCCCATCATGCAGCCTTTACGGATATCTTCACATTTATTAGTCACCTCAATTCCCATTTGATTTAATACATCTTTTACATGTCCTTTATTTTGATGTGCCAGTCTTTCATGCCACAGTTGCAAGGAGTCAATGGCATTCACTATATGTACTTTCCCTCTTGGATTACTGCTGTCATAAGCATGTGGTACAGTCCTTTTAACTTTTAAACCTTTAGCCACAATTTGTCTGTTTCTTCTTAGAAGATATTTTTCATTATCAGACTCATGAGTGAGTCCTTTCTCAACTAATGTTGTGATAGAGAGTAAATATCTCCCACATTTCGGTACATGAAAAACTCTTGTTAGCTCTACACTTTTATATGCACTGCTGAGAGAAAATTTCACATCTATGGAACCTTCTCAATAGCCCACATCTCAATCATTTCCCACTTTTATTACTACACTTTTTATTAGGAGAGGTGTATTGTTTATATTCTTTGAACCATTCTTTCCTGCTCATCATATGATCAGTAGCTGCACTATCAGTAATCCATATATCTAGCTCTCGTTCATAGATTCCCATGCTGTCACAAAGTGTTTATATTCTGGGGGAAGGACTGTGATTATTTTGCATACTACTGAATCATCATCATCAGTTTTGTCAAAGATTTTCAGTTTTTCTCTTATTCCTTCTAATCTAGAAAACATAAATGTTATAGATTCTCCATCTTCATATTTAAACAAGTGATATTCCTTTAGTGCAATTTCCTTTGACAGATATGACTTTTTCTCATACACGATAAGCAGTTTGTTCCAAATCTCATTTGATGTCTTACAATTTCTTATTGCTGAAAGTGCCTCTCCTGTTACTGTACTGCCTATCACCAATTTGGAAGTTTTTTCCTGCTCTGGATCAGATCAACAACTTTCTCATATTTTTCTTTCTCTGTTTTACTAACATTGTTACCAGGGTGTTCTGGCTTTTTATGCATTCCACATTTTTTACTTTACTTACCATTACCCATTTTATCTGTATGAAGGCTTTTCATTGGAGGAGTTGCATAAATATAAGGTGATGACATTATGGTAGATGAATTTAATGACGATGGCAATTGTGTAGTTACTGGTAGTGAACTATTCACTCCATTATTAAAATTATGAGGCATTGGTTGTGACATTGTGGGATGTATTGGACCTGACATTGGATTAAAATAATTTGGTTCTATTGGTGGCATAGTTCTTGGATGCATTCCCATATTCATTGGCCCACTTCCCATGGATCTAGGTCCCATTGGAGGTTGCATTGGACCAGGAACTGGCAAATTAGAGTGCATTGGTACAGGAGAAAGTCTTTGGATTCCTTGTGAACCATGATGTCCATGCATACCTGAAAGACCAGGAGGTCCTGGGGGTCCTCTCATACCACCAAAAGGTCTGAATGGAGGATGGGATGGAGAGGTCCACATGCAGTTGATGTGGAATAAATGGAGGATGATTCATTTGAGAGTCTGGTGGTGGTGGAGGTGCTTTAGCAGTTAAAGGAACTCAAAGGATTCATTCAAATATCTGTTATGGTAGCTGTTTATGCATATATATTTAGGAACTAATTCATTTTCATTTGCAACAGCTGGAAGAGATGTTCAATGCATGTTCAAGCATGAAGAGATGTGCAATGGATGTTCAGCACATACTTCAATTACAGGTAACCCCCGTATAACACGGTAGTTACGTTCCAAAAAATTGCCGTGTTATGCGAATCCGTGTTATACGAAACAAAGAACTAATACGAAAAGGAGGGTTAGGTTCCAAAAATTAAAAATCATGCTAGTATATTTTAATAATTAAGATAAATATCTTCATTAAAATTTTTTTAAGTGATACATATTAATATAAATTAAACAATGTTTTCTTCGTCATCACTAAAAACACTATTAATTAACCGAGAGCGTTTTCTTTTTGGCAAGTTATCCTTATCCTCTGAGCATTTTTCTGCATTATCTTCAGATCCATGCTTTACCTTTTGCAAAATGTATGTAATTTTAGATTGCTTGCTTCTAGTTAAAAGGTCTTTATAAATTTCCTTATATGGTGCTAAGCACTTATGAAGAATAAAGCAAGTATGGAATAAGGGAAAAACATTCGGCAACATACGAAGCAGAAGCGTCGCAATCTGGCAACACTGAAACAAGTTTCAAGAAGGACTATGTGTATCGACAGAAGGCGAGAAGAGAAAATTTACATACTTAAATACTAATAGTTCACGAAAATAATAATTTTCGTGAACTATTATTACTTAAGTATGTAAAAATTTATTACATTTCCTGTTGTACGAGGGTTTTACCCAATTCTTGAACTGTGTCAGAGTGAATCCGTGTTATAAAAGTACCGTGTTATACGGGGAATGGTACCAATTCTCGAACCGTGTTAGAGCGAATCCGTGCTATAGAAGTGCCGTGTTATACGGGGGATGGTACCAATTCTCGAACCGTGTTAGAGCGAATCCGTGCTATAGAAGTGCCGTGTTATACGGGGGTTACCTGTATTTCATTATCATCAATACAATATTTAAATTATCTGTTAGATTCTGGCATATTTGAAAGAGGATTATTTCTTGGATGAGACAGATCACCAGGAAAAGCAATTTCTTGCTCAAACCTGTTCATATCTTCTTCCATCTCTTCTGACATTGAAGTCATCTTTACTGAACACTTTTGTCTTATTTACTCTTTCACTTCACTACAATTACACAAACATCAAAATTTTGTCAACACAGTTTTGTAAACAAAATCCTGGGCCAGGTCATAAGGATACCTGCTGTGGAGTGCCTTTTGAACCCATGATTGCTTAATGGTGTCTATGCTTTTTATATATGTTATGTTGTGTCCATGTGTTGTGAGTGTATATTTACTAGTATGTATGGCTTTATTAAGCCTTGTTATTTACTTTTCTTTTCTTTATTTACCTTATACCATCTTCCTGCAGTAAAATTGTACTTCTGGCTTCTATTTCTCTAACCACACTGTAGTTAGTTGACCCATGTGGTCTGATCTGTTATAAAACAAAAGGGGGTGACACCCAATCTGTCGAGGGGTTACTGGCAGAGGACAGAAGGAGATTCAAAGAGAACAAAGAAAACATATTTCAGGAGAGAGCTGAAAGGAAACGTATGTGTCAATGAGTACGGAAGGAAGACCCATACAACAGAACAATCTTTATTTCATCGCCAGTCACCCCTTTGAACCTTCTCCTTCAATAAATACTTTTATAATCCTATGATTCTTAACATCTTCCCTTTTACTTTTGGGTCCAGTTATTTGTAAAAATTAGTTAAGTTAGACCTAAGATAGAATAGATTCTTTGTTTGTCGGTACTTGGGGATCCATCAGTTGTATTTGTTATGATCAGTCCCAATTAATCTTGTAAATTCATTGTTTGAATTGAATGATTGCTTCTTCGGAACTTTAGTTATTTTTGTGAAAATTAAACTTATTTATCAATGCCGAACATTTCCCCGGATTCTGTTATTTATTACTCGGCTACATATGTTATTTGAGTCTGCTAGAGTTACTGCTTTATGTAACTGAAATGTTTTTTGTGTTTTGTAGGAAACTCTTGCAGTGTCTGTATTGTTTGTAGTAAAGGTTTACTATGTCAATCAGGCCACGTTCTCCTCCTATGCGGAAGGATTAATCTTTCTATGGCTGATTTTAGAATGATGTTTATGCTTAATAAGTGTTGTTCTTGTTTTACTTTGGAGTTGCTCAAGATCTATGTGAGTCCAATGTATAACTCCAAAAGAATAAGTGAGTACTGGGACAACATATGTGTTTATTGCTTTAACTGTATGTTTTGCATTTAACTATGTTCTGAGAATAGTGTTTAACCTACTTTGGTATTCTATAATTAATCTTTGCTTTATTTATGTATGTTTTGTTAGTTTGGCATGCTAGAATCCTAAATACTTGTAGAACTTGAACTTGCCCTCTTTCATGGATTCAATAACATCTCCATTTCCAAGTGCAAAATCTTCTTTCTTAAAGACTCCTTTTTCTATGTGAAGTGTTTTGCATTTGTCTAGGCCAAACTTCATTTGTATGTCCTTCATGTATGATTGTGTGATTTGTAGGAGTTAAAGTTGTTTTTGTGTGGTTGCATAAAGTTTTATATCGTCCATGTACATGCAATGTGACAGTGTAAACTGTGTTGTTTTTACATGTCTGATATTGTAACCATATTGCATGTTGTTTAACATGTTGGCTAAGCAGAACCAGAGAATATTCATTAGGTGAGGAGGAATCTCCTTGAAAAATTCCTCACCTAATGAATATTTGGTTTGTTTGTATGAAAGTGTAATGAATCCTGAGATGAAGTGTTGTTGTCCAGTGCTGCATAGTGTTTTGGAAGAATGCAATGAGTAATGGATGTATTTTGTACATGTGTAGAACAAGGTTCCCTCTAAGCTGCGCAGTTGCACATTGCTTGAGTTGTTGCTGCACATGAGAATTTGTGCCGCACAGGTGAGCATGCACACTGATTTGAATTGTTGTTTACTGATTTCTCACTCTGTCTGTAACATGATTATTGTTACATATATTTTGATTAAATACATTAAATCATTGACAAAAGATAATGTTTTGTATGGAAGTGTTTTAAAATGAATTTTAATCTCTACTTTATAATTAATTTTTTTAATTTTTATAAGAAAAAATAAGATTTTCTATGTATATGCTCAGAAAAATTTTTTTGCTTCAGCAAAATTTTTTTTTTGCTCAGAGAAGTATATGTTCTGCTCAGCTACAAAAAAATTAGAGGGAATGTTGGTGTAGAATATGTAGCAGCCAACTGTGTGGAACACTGTCAAATGCTTTTCTGTAGGCTATATATGCCATGTGTATGTTTCTGTGCTGTTTGTGTGCTTGCCGTAGAATGGCTGAATCTACAAGTAACTGTTCTTTACATCCCATGTGATTTCTACGGTAACCCTTTTGTTGTTCTGTAAGAATGTCGTGTTCTTCAACATGTTTGTATATTTTGTTTGCAATACAGAATGTCAATAATTTGCAGTGTGTTGGAAGACATGTAAGTGGTCTGTATTGTGTGGGGTCTGTGGTATTGTTGTTTTTGGGTTTCATGTGTGAAAGTTAAAAATGTACGAGACAAATCGTTCCAACGAATATCAATTAAACAATAATTTATTACAACAGGGATTAACAGGTAACACAGAGATGCCCGTCAGAGACAAATACACAGATATACAACAGGTCTCTACTCTCGTCCGGAATCTTACAATTTTTAATTATCACGATATAGGTTCTAATCACTAATATAATTAACTTACATCTAACTTAATCTAACACTATACTAATAAGAGGAAAAGGAAGGAAGGAAAGAAAAGGTCTACCGGTAGTTAGCACAGGAGGTCCTGATGGTGGTTTCCGATAATTGCGGGGGTTTTCTCGGCCGACTTTGGTATATTAAACATTCCTAGTATGAAATTTGGCACTTAGTTTCCGTAGACTACTATCTCTCATCAATCAAGTCACTAGTCCTTTCTCTTCTCTTTGGACTACGCTAAACTTCGCACATTGGGCAGGTTCTTTGTCTTAAGCCTGACTTAATGTCCCGACGATATTTTCTTAACCCTTTCTCCTCGTCGTCCAGGCAAAAAGTGTCCTTCTTACCCCTTTGTTCACCTTGTGTACCCCACGGGCAGGGCCGCGCCCTGTTCACGTCGGTAAGCCACCAATCAGGAAACCGAAATTCCCGCTCCTGATCGGGTGACCGGAAATGGTCATTAGTAGAAAGAAGAAGGAAGGAAAAGAACAAAGAATCTTAAATCTAAATACTATAACTATGTATATACAAAATGGCGGACAGCCACACATGTAGGTGATGCCCTGAGTAAGAAATTTTGGAATGTCTTGTGATGTGTGTTAGGTGTTTAGCTAGTTCCTGGTGCAGTGATGTAAACTTTTTGTACCAGAAATTATGAATGTTATCTACACCAGGTGTCTTCCAGTTGTGTGTTCTGTTAACAGCACACTGAATGTCATGTACATTTATTTCAGCACAGGGCATAGTTGGTATGTTGTGCAAGTTTTTGTTCTCCTCCTCGATCCAGCCTGCATCAACATTGTGTGTAACAGCACTGGACCAAAGAGAAGACCAATAAGTTGTGAGTTCTTCTTCTGTTGGTGTGCCACTGTGCTGTGTGTCAGTGTTTGTTTTGTGTGTCAGTGTTTGTTGTGTGTCAGTGTTTGTTTTGTCTGTAAAAGAGTTTTTCATTGTTTGTAAATAATTTATTTTGTTGTTTTCATAGGGTACATGTTTTGTATCATTTGTACTTTGGCTGCGAATTTCTGTTTTAGTGTATCAATGTATTCTGTAATGTGTGTGTTGTGATGTTCATGTTTTGATTTTCTTGAAAATTTTTGAGTTGTTTCTTTAATTTGAGTGTAATAATGTTTTTAGTGTATTGTGTCAGCCTAATTGCTGTCTAATGTCATTTATTTGTGTTTCTATTCTTCTTTGTCAGGGAGGCTTGTGATATAATTGTGTTTTGTGTGTATCTGTCTGCGATTGTATTTTCAGTCCATGGAGTGTCACTACTGTGACTGCCCCAGCATAAATTAATGTATGAATGTCTGAGAGTGTAGAAATTAAATGAATGTAGCTTGGTAGTAAATGAGTGTTTACATAATTTAGTGTTTTTCGTACTACATTTGACGT